TGGAAAGATAACTTTCATGGATACAGGACTTTATAATAATTGGTAAAATCCCAATGTCCCCAAGCGCTAAGTTTAAATGCAATCCAATCAAATTTCCAAAGGCTTTCAATAGACATTAACAAGTAGTTCTAACTCAGGAAACGTGTAATCCCAAACTGACGACAAGGTCAGCCCCAGCTGCACAGCCTATTCCAGGGAAGCCTGGGCTACAGAATATTTGGGGGGGAGGGGGTGGCGGTGTTTGTTTTGGATTTTTCAAGACAGGGTTTCTCTGTAGCTTTGGTGCCTGTCCTGGAACTAGCTCTTTGTTGACCAGGCTGACCTCAAACTCCAGGCCCACCTGCCTTTGCCTCCCAAGCAGTGGGGTTAAAGACCAGCACCACCACCTGCTGTTTCCTTTTAAGCAGAGGTAGAAAGCTATAGTAGTCCCAGAGCACACAAGGCACAGCAGGCTGACCTTGAACTCAGAGGTGCCTTCCAGCCTCTGCCTCCCCAAGTGCTGGGAACAGAAAATGCAGGACCACACCCTGTTCTAAGAGGTACTTCAAATGGGTGACTATTAGCATCTACATCTCTACGAAATGGGTTTTCTCATATGTTATGTTTTAAGATTAGTTGCTTAAAATGGATACCATGGCAAATTTTGTTTTTTCGTTGTTGAGACACCGTTTCTCTGTGTAACCCTCACTGTCCTGGAATTCCCTGTGGAAACCAGGCATGCTTTGGACTCAGAGACCCGCATGGCCCTGCCTCCCGAGTGCTGGGATTATTGGTGTGCGCCATTCTCGGCCACATTTTGTATTTTTTTTTTTAAACACATAATAGAAGAGTACACCACAGACCACATTCAAGGCCCAGAAGAAAATATGAATGGCTTTGTAACACAGGCAAAGTGCTTAAAGACTAGGGACCAGTTTGTAGCCTTTTGCACCCCAAGAATGGAAGAGGCCAATGAAAAATGACTGAACTAAATAGTCCTCTTTTTCTTTTCCGAGACAGGGTTTCTCTATGTCACAGCCCTAGCTGTCTTGGAACTAGCTCTAGTAGACCAGGCTGGCCTCGAACTCAGAGATCCACCTGCCTCTGCCTCCCGAGTTCTGGGATTAAAGGCGTGTACCACCACACCCCAGCTTTTCCTTCTTTTCTTAAAATAGAGAAATGACGGTTCCCTCTCTAAACGATTTTGGGATTAAAAAAAGAAAGAAACCAAATAACCTTGTTGACCTTACTCACCGATTTCCTTTGATTCTTGCCCAGAGACTCTAAGCTTGCATTCTTTTGCATAGTGTTTTTGGATAATCTCCCATAGGTCTGTATTAACAAGAGAATTCCTTCGGGTATGATATCGAGTCCACGAAGAGACTCGGCGGCGACAGAAGGGACAGCACAGGTTGGCCTTTTCAACAGTCGATTGAAAGCACGGGTTACAGAGCGTGTGGTTGCAAGGAAGGGTTACCGGCTCCAGTAGGATTTCCATACAGATTCCGCATTGACAGTCGGCTAAGGAAGGGATGGCGTCTTTGGTTGCAGCCATCTTCCTATGCTAACGAGGCCTACCCAACGTCAACACCTGAAAGAAATCAGAGGCGTCTTTCGGCTCACCACCGGATGGAGAAAGTCAGAGAGCGGTTTGGTCTTTAACCTGACACACAGCAGTGTGTTGGAACCCAGACGGGCTGAACTTCCCCGGGCCGGAGGCAAACAAACAGGCGCTGTGATGCCCCGCGAACAGTTATGCCCTGCGTCCAGCAAAGGAATGGACAAACGTTCCTTGGGGAGCGCGGCGACCTCGGGCCAGAGCGTGGTTCCGGCCCCCCGCGCCGCCGCCGGTCGGCTCCAGCTCCCCTTCTCACCAGGTGAGGACCCGCCTTTTTGCGCGAGGCCGCCGGGCCCGCCAGGGCCGGAAGCCGGGAGACCGCCGCTCCCGGAGCGCCCCGGACAGCCCGGAAGCCGGGCGCGGGTCGCCGCTGGACTTCCGTCTCGCCGTTGCGGTGGAGGCAGCCCTCCAGGGTCCGCGCTCCAGCTTCTGGCCGCCCCACGGTCCCGAGACGCAGCCGCTCAGACCCGCTGGCGTGCCAGCCAAACTGTTTACTGGCGGCAGGAGCGGGAACACGCGACCAACAGACGTCACAACTGCCCGCCAGAATAGCAATTCTTGCCCAAGGATCCGCCCAATTGGGCGGGACCGGGGCTGCGCGCGCCGTCGCGTTCCACCTGCTAGATGCTGCTCCTCCAGGCTTTGGTGGTTCAAGTTTTGTTAGTCACTGGCTGAAAGGTAAACTCTAAACAAGCTCCAAACGGTATTTTTTTTTATTAGTTATCCTCTTAGAACTCTTTTTTTTTTTTGCCAGTTTTGTTTCTCTCTAGCTTTGGAGCCTGTCCTGGAACTAGCTCTTACAGACCAGGTTAGCCTCGAACTCACAAAGATCCACCTGTCTCTGCCTCCCGAGTGCTGGGATTAAAGGCGTGCACCACCACCGCCCCAGCGAGACCCTTTAAAAAAAAAAAAGTATTCAATGATAGGCATGGTCACACATGTCATGTAATCCCAGCATTTAAGTAGAAAAGGCAGAGATAGAAGCAAGGGAATCTAGAGTTGGAGTCCAATTTGGGCAACAAAGAGAGTTCCAGGTCTAACAGACTCTGGTTCAACTTCCCTGAGAATCTCTAAGAAGGCTGCTCTCACCAGAAAGTTGAACGTTTGGGCCAGAGAATCCTTAGCGCTGTGACAAGCTGACATTTACACTTTATTCTATGGCACGGATCCCTGATATCTGCGGCCTTCCTTTCTAAAGACTTAAGGCCCACAAGCTTTTTGTACACTGTGTGGAGATGTGTCTCTGCCCTTCTTTTCCTGCCTAAGGCACCTTCTCATTGGTTTAACACAGAGTTGAATGACCGGTAGCTAGGCAGGAGAGGATAGGCAGGATTTCCAGGGAGAGATAAGAACTCTGGGAAAGAATCTGAGGTGTGGGAGATTCTCCAGAGAGAACTGGAGGAAGTAGGACTTATGGCACTGAGGAACAGGTAAGGAACCACATGGTTAATTTAATGTGAAAGATTAATATAAATGAGCTCATTTAAATTTTAAGAGCCCATTGGAAACAAGAGTAAGTTAAGGCCAAGCTTTCGTAATTAATAAAAAAAATCTCCATGTTATTATTTGGTAGCTACCAGTCCAAAGAAAAACCACTTATAGTCTGTCCTGGAGCAGTGGCTGTCAGACACCTGATACAGGTGCTGGGAATGGAACTCTTAGCTGCTGAGTCATCTCTCCACTGAGTCATGCTACATTTATGATTGACTAATTGCATTTTACTAGGTATTCAAAATTCAAAATGTTCAAAATGAACAGTCTGACTCTTGCTAGAGAAACATATCTACCTCATCCAGACACCAAAGACAAAACAAAGAAGAGATTGCATTCAAGTTCAATTTGCTGAACCAGTGAGTTCTTTAGTCTTACAGGAACATGAGTGTGGGATTTCTTACTGTGGCGTGGATGACTCAAAGGCAAGCCATACCACCTGCAGCTCCCACCTCAGCATGGGATGACCCACAAAAGCTTCATTTCTAGACTCCCAACCACGGTCCACTGTTGGGGAATATTATTTTAAGGCGTGTAACATTTGTGTATGCTCTGGAACATTTGCTTAACAGTGTAAAGATGTGTTCCTTTTGTTTATGCTGCATGTGTCTAACTCTGTGAGGCTGTGATTCTTTGCCTGTCTAAAACACCTGGTGGTCTTATAAAGCGCTGAATGGCCAATAGCAAGGCAGGAGCAAGGACAGGCGGAGTTGGCAGGCAGAGAGGATAAATAGAAGGAGAAATCTGGAAGAGGAAGAAGGAACAAAAGAACCAGGAGAAGAGGATGCTAGGGGCCAGCCACCCAGTCAGTCACCGAGTAAGATTACAGAAGTAAGGAACGGAAAAGGGCCAGAGGCAAAGGTGAATGAAATAATTTAAGTTAAGGAAAGCAGGCTAGCAACCAGCCAAGCTAAGACCAGGCATTTAGAAGTAACAATAAACCTCTGTGTGTGATTTATTTGGGAGCTGAATGGCAGGCTCCCCAAAAGAGTAAAAAAAGATTCAAAGACAAGAAGAAAAGACCAAAGAATAAAATCAAAGGACAACAGTCAACTGTCCACCTCCTGGATACTCCAGCATCCCTAAGACCAGGCAGAGCAAGACTGTGTAGGGCTTGTGGCTGGGGCTGGAATCTCGGGACAGCAACATCGCCCTTTCCTTTCCTGATCTCATGGCCATGTCCTGTGGCTGATCACAATTTCAGTGATGCCATGCTGTGTCTGAAGGACAAGTTCCACTATCCAGTGAAAAGTATTTATTTCCCTTTGGCTCTTGGCCTTTTAGTCCCCTCACCCCCGCAAAAAAAATTTTTTTTTTGCTTATCACTGCAGAAGTGTAGATATCTAAACTAATATGCAGTATCTTTTAAAAATTATAGGTAATATATATGTATTATATATAGTTGGTTTTGCCCCTTTTATACTTAACATTAAATATTTAAACAAAACACCACCAAATCTGAGTGATGATTTTATATAAATTTATATTTATGTTTGCGGTATCAGGGTTTGGGCCCAGGACCTCTATATATGAGGCATATCCTCTGGGCTACATCCCCAGACTCTCTATTTCTTTTCTTTTTTTATTGAACATTTTTTATTGATATTTATTGAGCTCTACATTTTTCTCTCCTCCCTGCCTCTCCCCGCCTTCAATCCTTCCTCAAGGTCCCCATGCTCCCAATTTACTCAGAAGATCTTGTCTTTTTATACTTTCTTTTTTTAAATTTTTAAACAAAGAGCAAACATGGATTTATTTATTTTATATTTATTTATTTATACAGTATCCTACCTGTAGGCCAGAAGAGGACACCAGATCTCATTAGAGGTGGTTGTGAGCCACCATGTGGTTGCTGGGAATTGAACTCAGGACCTCTGGAAGAACAGTCAGTGCTGTTAACCACTGAGCCATCTCTCCAGCCCTCTTTTTATACTTGCTGCTTCCCATGTAGATTATATCTATGTAAGTCTCTCTTAGTGTCCACATTGTTGCCCCAGACTCTATTTCACTATAAAAAGTTTGCTTATTTTTTAATATGACTACACACAAAATATTCATTGTATCAATTTGTCATAATTTCTTTAGTGCTCCTCCCACTTTTGCTATAAATAAAATAAGCCTACACTAAATTATTCATGTTTTTGTTTTTGTGATACAAATGACTGAAAGTGAAATTGCTGGGCCGTAGGGGTGACAGGTTAATCTTTGGCTGATGGTATCAACTCTTTCAGGGATGCCCTTTGGTTTTCAGGGGTCCTCACTGCTTTCCCCTTCTCAATGACCTGAACAGCCCGCAGCAAACCATCCTGCAGAGCCTGGTTCTTTACCATGTTGGTGATCATGAACGTAACATCTTTGATGTACATCTGTCGTACATTAGCAGCATAGTGTTCTGCTTTGTCACCGTGCGCAATGAAGAAGGTACAGAGCACTGTGACGTCTCTCTCTTGCAGCCCGTACTCCTCCAGGACTGACTCCCATACGGTTCTAACACGCTTGTTCTTGACTGTTCTTCTAAGGACAGAGGCTAATGTCGGGAGACTTCTCACCAGGTCTGGAAGCTTCTGAAGCACTCGAGTGTGCAAGCAAATAAGGACTTCAATGACGTAGCTGTATAAAATATTCAGTTCCATTGAGGTGAACCTATGAAAAATGTGGAAAGCTCCTTAAATGGAATATTTAGTGTATAAATGTAGGTTATATTTGATTAGGTTGGCTCAATGTAAACCCACTAGGAAACCAGCTATCTCTTTCAGAAATACAGCCTGCACCAAACTGCAGAGCTGGGCTCTCAGGCCTCCCATGGTGAGGGAATTCTGTCACTCATTCCTGTCAATAAGACCGGCAGGTAACAGACTCACAAGGCAGGCACTGTGGTGCTGGGCATAAAAACAGTGCTCAGATCAACCTTTTGTGAATGAAGGAACCCAGGCATGAGTAATACCCTTGGGACATACGAAATTCAGTTTGGAATGGCCACTGAGAGCCCTCGCAAAACCACAAAAGCCAGGATTCAATTATTGCTCACCCGAGGGCCAGAACTGCAGTCCGTATCTCATCCTGGGATGCCTGGCTTGCCAAAGTCTTGCTATGGTGTTCAAATTGCTGTGTCAATTTATCCTTGGTAATGTCTAGTTCTTTGAACTGTGCGTCTAGAGCTTGGAGCTTGTTGTCTACTCTACAGGAATAAAGAATCAAAATTAAGTCTGGGCCAGGGTAAACCTGAGACTCTAATAGATTACTTACAGCCCTACCAAATGTAGATAGGGATTCAGAGTGAAATGTGAACAGGGTTCCCACTGGCCAGGCCTCCTCTGATCTTGCTCTTCATATTGTCTGACTTCTGGATCATCTAGCTGTTTCCATGTCTTGTGCGATACTTTATGCTTCACACAGAATCAACAAGCCTTATTCTCGTGACTGTAAGTGAAGCTATCAGTTGTTACTTTTTAAAGACGGCTTTATTTTCTGTGTGGAGGGAGGGGTTGGGGTGCATGGGTGGAAGCCAAAGGATAACCTGTAGTAGTTATTTTCTCCTTCCACTATGTGGGTCTTGGGGCTTGAACTCGGGTGGTAAGACCTGGGCAGCAAGAGCCTTTACCAGCTCCACGATGTCACCAACCCCCTTTTTTCCTTTTTTGGTTAGAGCTGTACAAGTCCTGGTCTTGCCATTTTATAGATAGATTGAATTTGAAAAAGACTATCACTTAAATGAATAGTGCTAGAATCAATGAACATGATAAAGTAGCTTACCCTGTTGACTTTGCAGATCCATTTCTACCTCAAGGATCAGCTCAAATTTCGTGTGTGTGTGTGTGTGTGTTGATGGTGATACTGGGGATTGAACTTAGGGCCTCACACTTTCTAGGCAAGAGCTCTACCACTGACCTATGTTCAGCCCTCCACTGTCTTCTTAGATCCACTCTCTGGGAAATCCTTCCCAGTATCTAGTAACATTTGTTTTAGTTTACACTGCATAAAGTATAAATTCTACATAGAGATCAGTGGCCATTTCTTAGAGATATGATTCCTGCCCCCTAATAGCCAGCAGAGGCCTTCCAGAGAAGGAGTAACTTATGTCCAGGTCATACACGGGCACCTGTGATGACCATGAGCTGCTGAGCCGTCGCAGGGGACTGAAGCAGTTGGGAGCAGCACTGACCACCAGGGGCAGCACTGCGACTGTACCTAGATGAACCACGAAGGGCTGGAGGGACAACCCGCTGGCCTAAAGCACCACATCATCTTTGATGAAGAAGGAAGCGATAGGAGACGTTGCCTCTCCAGTGACCTCAACACTTTGTGGCTGCCCCAGATTATGTCCTTGAGCATCTTCCCTTGGTCCTCAGTTTCTCCCAACAGTAACTGAGTTTCAGGTGCCACTTTCTCTCAGATGTACACTTTTATCTGTTATGTGCATTTCTCCCTCGACAGAATCATCACAGTCAACTGTCCTGAGCTTAACTTTATGAACTCTCCCCTCCATCTTCAGAAATTACGATGGAAGAATTTTCTCTCAGTTTTGGTTCCAATTTACACCTAGTTAAATAAAAGTTGGCATGGAGCCGGGTGGTGGTGGCACACGCCTTTAATCCCAGCACTCGGGAGGCAGAGGTAGGTGGATCTCTGTGAGTTTGAGGCCAGTCTGGTCTACAAAAGCTAGTTCCAGGACAGGCTCCAAGGCTAGAGAAACCCTGCCTCGAAAAACCAAAAAAAAAAAAAAAAAGTTGGCATGGAATGTGTGCATTAACAGGAGCATGAAGCCAGTGTGGCTTCTCTGCAGCAGCCTCTGCTTTCAAGTCAACTACGCCACTTGACTGTCTTTAACTTTTAGACTTCAAACTATACTGCTGTAGAGCATTTCTAGCCTGAACTCTAGAGACGAACTCTAGCTTGTCAAGAACAGTTTATAATTGCAGGAATCCTTTGAAATATCCTGCCAAAAGACACACAGACCACTCTGCTAAATGTCTAATGTACAGATGTCTGAGCAGGTAAAGGTGCTTGCTGCTGGCCTGGTGATCTAACTTTAATTAGCCCCATATGGTGGAAGAAGAGAACCAACTCCTTCAAGTCTTGCTGACTTCTGCATGGATGCCTGTGACATGTACAACCCTGCCCTATCACATAAAAAAGAAATATATTTATTATATATTAGAGCCAGGTGGTGGTGGCGCATGTCTGTAATACCAGCTCTTGGGAAGCAGAGGCAAGTAGATCTCTGAGTTTGAGGCCAACCTGGTATACAGAACTAGTTCCAGAACAGTTAGGGCTACACAAAAACAAATAAACAACCAAAAGAAACCCTGTCTCAAAAAACAAAACAAAAACAAAGGGTTGGAGAAATGGCTTAGTGAATAAGTATGCTTGTTCTTATAGAAGACATGGGTTCAACTCCCAGCCCCACCTGGTGGACAGCTGATAGCTCTCCATACCTCCAGTTGTAGGGGATCCAATGCCCTCTTCTGACTTCTGAGGGCACCAGGCACAAATGGGTACACATAAAATAAATAAATCTGAAAATAATTTTTAAATAAAAAATGTAAATCTGAGTGTAATCTTTCCTATGACAACTCCCTAGCTCAGCTCACAGCCTCACAGTTTACTCAGTTGTTCCAACCAGAAATCTAAGAATGATTGTCAACCCCTCCCCAGACAACTGCTATCTAACCCATCTCCTGCTTGTTATGCCCAGTAAGCCAGTCCATCACCTTTCACAGGTCCTAGGACTACAGGAAGTCTTCCTGGGTCCTTGCTCCAGTCTCCAATTCATCCTTCACACACTTCTCTAAAATACTGTAGTGATTTAGATTTATTTTCTGTATATGAGGGCTCTATCTGCATGTACACCTTTATGCCAGAAGAGGGCATCAGATCCCACTATAGGTGTAGTGAGCCACCATGTTGTTGCTGGGAAGAGCAGCCAGAGTTGCGGGCTCAGTTAACTGCTGAGCCATCTCTCCAGCCCTACTGTGATAATTAACTCAGTTAAAAATGTAGATTTTCTACCGCCTGACTTTAGGGGAAATGGATCTCCTCAACCACAAGCATAATGCCTCTGTGAGTCTCCTCACACATCCTAGTTGCTAATCTGTAATTCCAATCTGTCATAAGGCCAAAATGTAGTTTCCTCTCTATAAAATCCCTCCCCTATTTATTTCCTCATAAACTCACTCAGATGCCTTGACCCAGCTAAAGTGCCCTCCGAGAAGAGCCGCTTTCTTAGGCAAAATGGGTTGATCCCTCCATTAGTCTTTTTGGAACATCACCAGTATAAGGTCACTTATATGAAACTGTATTTAAAAACAACAACAAAAAACAAAACAAAAAAAACCCCAATTCTACTCTTCCTATAGGCTATGAGCTCCTTGAGGGTAACAGCCACATTTCACTTATTTCTGTAAATCTAGCATGAACTGAATGGAATTTTAGCATATTAAAGATTTTTTTTCTTGATTCCGTGTGTGTGTGTGTGTGTGTGTGTGTGTGTGTGCGCGCGCGCGCGCACGCGCACGCACATGCAGGGGATTTAAAAACCAGGACCTTTCAACCACACAAACATTCTACTACCGGACTAAACTCCAACCCCCAGAGTTTTCTGTATTATCAGTCAGACCACTTTGGCAAACACAGTTCTAATGAGCGTGTCTGTCTTCTTTGCCCATCTCTGTATCCATTCTTCACTCCCTTCTGACAACAGCAGACCCTGGCTTAGTCCCTCCCTGGAACCCAGAGCCACCTTTTCATTGCCTCCTTCAAGGATATCAGGGCTGTGGTTTCATGGCTCATCTTCTTTAGGAAAAGGAAAGGAAGAAAGATGAAAACCCGAGAGAGGTTGGGATCCTGGATTTTCTGCTGTTTCCCACTCAGCAACAGGCAGCAGCAATGGGAATATGCAATCTAAATTCTGCCTGGAAGGTCACTAAGTACATGAAGCTTTTAATAGCTTGAACATCCAAATATAGTTTCAAAGAACTAATGGTGTGAACACAGGTGTCCTGGAGTGCACTATGACATTTGCCTTTGACAACAGAGCAAGCCGTTATAGAACAACAAGCAGCCATAGCAAACACAACTTTGTTTAAACTGGGAGACTTATATAGGGACATACAAACATTAGTCTACAATTAAATTTGATGGAGATGCTACTTTCATTTTTAAAAATGTTTATTTGCTGTACACGAGTATTTTGTGTATACATGAATCTGTGCACCATGTGCCAGAAGAGGGCGGCAGGTCCCCTGGAACTAGTTACCGACAGTTGTGAGCTCTCCCGTAGGTGCTGGGGATCCAACCTAGGCCCTATGAAAGAGCAACAATAGCTTTGTTGTTGTTTGTTTTTTTTTTTTCTGACAGGGTCTCTCTAAGTAGTCCTGGCTATACTGGAATTTCTATGTAGACCAGGCTATCCTGGAACTCACAGAGATCTGCCTAATTCAGCTCCCAAGTACAGAGATTAAAGATGTGTGCCACCTTGCCTAGCTAACAAGAGCTTAATTAACTGTGAGCCATCTCTCCAGGCTCAGGTTTCATATTTTAATAGCTTTTTATCAAATTATAATCAATACAAGTTTTTAAAGAATGCCTTACTTTTTTTTCTTTTTTTATTGATATTTATTGAGCTCTACATTTTTCTCTGTTCCCCTCCCTGCCTCTCCCTTCCCCCTTCAATCCTCTCCTAAGGTCCCCATGTTCCCAATTTACTCAGGAGATCTTGTCTTTTTCTATCTACTTTCTATTTCCCATGTAGATTATATCTATGTAAGTCTCTCTTAGTGTCTGCATTGTTGTCTAAGTTCTCTGGGATTGTGGTTTGTAGGCTGGCTTTCTTTGCTTTATGTTTAAAAACCACCTATGAGTGAGTACATGTGATAATTGTCTTTCTGTGTCTGGGTTACCTCACTCAAAATAATGTTTTCTAGTCCTATCCATTTTCCAGCAAAATTCAAGCTGTTGTTATTTGTAACATGAGGGCCTGCTTGTTGGGATTTCTTTCCCACCCGACACCCCACAGCTGGCAAGCCCCAAAGAAAATCACACAAAGGTCTCCATAAGAATATAAACTGATTGGCCGATTAGCTCAGGTTTCTTATTAGCTCTTGTAATTTATATTAACCCATTGTTCTTATCTCTGTTAGCCACAGGGTTCGGTACCTTTCTCAGAGGGGTAGGACAGTCACATCCTGCTTCTTCCGTGGTCTGGGGAGGACTGGCGGAGGGAGCTTCCTGCATCCCAGAATACTCCTGTTCTCTTTTCTCCACCTCTACTTCCTGTCTGGTTTTCCCACCTATTCTTCCTGCCTGGTCAATCAGCATTTATTTAAAACATGATTGACAGAATACAGACAATTCTCCTGCACCAGTTATTTTTTTCTGCTGTGTAGTAAGTACTCCATTGTGTAAATGTATCACATTTTTCTTATCCATTCTTTGATCGAGGGGTATTTAGATTTGTTTCCAGGTTCTGGCTATGACAAACAAAGCTGCTATGAACATAGTTGAGCACATGTCTTTGTGGCATAATTGAGCATCCTTTGGATATATACCCAAAAGTGGTATTACTGGGTCTTGAGGAAGGTTGTTTCCTAATTTTCTGAGAAATTGCCATACTGACATCCAAAGGGGTTGTACCAGCTTGCATTCCCACCAGCAATGCAGAAGTGTTCCCTTTTCCCCACAACCTCTCCAGCATAAGTTGTCATCAGCGTTTTTGATCTTGGCCATCTTATAGGTGTAAGATGGAGTCTCAAAGTTGTTTTGATTTGCATTTCTCTGATGACTAAGGATGTTGAACATTTCCTTAAGTGTCTTTCAGCCATTTTAGATTCCTCTGTTGAGAGTTCTCTGTTTAGGTCTGTATTCCATTTTCTTTTATTGGATTATGTGATCTTTTGGTGTCCAATTTTTTGAGTTCTTTGTATATTTTGGAGATCAGACCTCTGTCTGATGTGGGGTTAGTGAAGATCTTTTCCCATTCTAAAGGCTGTCGTTTTGTCTTGTTGATCATGTCTTTCGCTTTACAGAAGCTTTTCAGTTTCAGGAGGTTCCATTTATTAATTGTTTCTGTCAGTATCTGTGATGCTGGGGTTATATTTAGGAAGTGAATCCCTGTGCCAATGTGTTCAAGTGTACTTCCCACTTTCTCTTCTATAAGGTTCAGTATGGCTGGCTTTATGTTGAGGTCTTTGATCCATTTGGACTTGAGTTTTGTGCATGGTGATTGATATGGGTCTATTTTTATTTTTCTACATGTTGATATCCAGTTATGCCAGCACCACTTGTTAAATATGCTTTCTTTTTTCCATTTGATACTTTTTGCTTCTTTATCAAAAATCAGGTGTTCAAAGATGTGTGGATTGATATCCGGGTCTTCTATTCTGTTTTATTGGTCCTCCTGTCTGTTCTTATGCCAATACCAGGCTGTTTTCAGTACTGTAGCTCTGTAGCAGAGTTTGAAGTCAGGGATTGTGATGCCTCCAGAAGTTCTTTTATTGTACAGGATTGTTTTGGCTATCCTGGGTTTTTTGCTTTTCCTGCCTTATATTTTTTTTTTTTTGTTTTTTCAAGACAGGGTTTCTCTGTGGTTTTGGAGCCCTGCCTTATATTTTTTATGATGATAATTATGTGGGGGGTTTTGTTTGTTTGGTTTTTGGTTTTTTGAGACAGTAGCTTTGGAGCCTGTCTTGGAACTAGACCAGGCTGGCCTAGAACTCACAGAGATCCGTCTGTCTCTGCCTACCAAGTGAGTGCTGGGATTAAAGGCATGTACCACCACTGCCTGGCGATAATGATGGTTTTAAAGTTAAAAATCTAACCAATGGTAGAAATTACTATTATTGAGAGCTTCTAGTAGTATAAAATGAGGAATTGATAGAAAAAGACACATGAAACATGATTTCTCTGTGATACAGTGGTTTGAGTCTGTAGTCCCCCTTTCAGGAGACCAGCACAGGAAACAGGAAGATCTTCCCAGCCTATGAACTCAAGGCCAAAATGGACCTCATCTCGGAACCTTTTCTCAAAACAAAAATAAGTACTTGTTTTATTATTAAAACATGCAGTAGCCGGGCGGTGGTGGCACACACCTTTAACACCTTTAATCCCAGCACTTGGGAGACAGAGGCAGGCGGATCTCTGTGAGTTCGAGGCCAGCCTGGTCTACAAGAGCTAGTTCCAGGACAGACTCCAAAGCCACAGAGAAACCCTGTCTCGAAAAAACAAACAAACAAACAAACAAAATCATGCAGTAGACATGTTTTAGGTAATGCTTAGGTACAGACTCTAAAAGTCACAGAGGATGAGAGTGGGTCACTGAGGTGTTGGTCACTAGGAGAATGCTCAAACTGGAGGTGGATCTTATCCTTAAAGTGTTATTTCTGGATTATCAAGCGGAAGAAGTGTGAAGTATTCTATAGACTGCAGAATTTGTATGAGCAAAGTCACAGAGATGGCAAAGTAACTTAGTTCAGGGGACTCTGAGTAGATGTTTGTTTCTTTTTTTTTAAATATTATTTATTATGGATACAATATTCTGTTTACATATATGCCTGCAGGCTAGAAGAGGACACCAGACCTCATTACAGATGGTTGTGAGCCACCATGTGGTTGCTGGGAATCGAACTCAGGTCCTTTAGAAGAGCACGCAATGCTCTTAACCGCTGAGCCATCTCTCCAGCCCCTGTTTGTTTCTTTTTATAGACAGGAAATTGCTATAATTATATAGCCAAATTCTGCCTCTACCTCACAATCCTCTTTGCCTTAGTCTCACAAGTGCTATGGCTACAGGTGTGTACCAAGCCCAGCTCACGAAGATATGTTTTGATCAAAAGATTCTGTTTGATTGAAAGCTCTCTAACACCTTTATATACAAAGAGTCTGGAATGTAATATTAAGTTGGGGGCATCACCCCAGCCCCTGGCATTCGTCCTTGGGGTGCCAATGGAGCACCAATGGAGCAGAAAGCTCTATCTTAGGCCCCTCCCCCTGGGAGTTGCCTTGGACTGAACTCCACCTCCAGGAAAGCCCACCAAGCGCTGACCCTTCCCCAGAGAGGGTCAGGACCACTCTCACAGGCTATTTAGGCTTGCAAAGGAACACCAGTTTTGCATGGTCTCTCCCTCTCTGTCTTCCCCGTGCCATGCTCCCAACCACCCGGGAGCGCTGCATTCATTAAACATGGGCATCATTGATTTGGTCTAATTTGGTCTAATTGGAGTTATTTTGTGTTGGCTGGGAGGCCCTCTTAAAATTTTTCCTAACAGATTCATGTGAGCTCAAGAAAACATTTATGCTCTTAAGAACTAAGCTCTGTTTGCTCACTCACTGAATGAAGAATTTATTCCCATCAATACTTATTGAACATCATAAATGTTAATTAAATGGATAACACCTAAGAATGATGAGAAGGCAAAAAGCCTCCTCTCCAGGAAATATGGTAACGGAGAGGCAAAGGGATAACTGTAATGGATTATGAAAAATCACTGAGGATCCTACAGGCTGGTGGCAGGCAGCAAGGCCCCGAGAGCAGCCAGTCCCATGCAGGGAATGCACATAAGACAACACAGCAGGTCTCTGAAGGTGACTGATCCCCAGTGGCAAGCCACGTGGCGGCAGTGGGCGAGAGACAGACTGATAGACAAGCCATGCAGAGTGAGGTCCGATATTTATTTAGTGGTTATAAAAGGGAAGGGAGAAGGGGAGAAGAGCACAGAGGCAGAGAGAGAGAGAGAGAGAGAGAGAGAGAGAGAGAGAGAGAGAGGAGAGAGAGAGAGAAGAGACCAAAGCTGCCTCTCCAAGAGGGAGCTGGAGAAGAGAGACTAAGGGAGCAAGCAGGAAGGAAGACCTGCCTGCTTCAGTGGATGA